TAAGCAGTTTAAGCACACTTTGTAATCGTTGAACCTTGAATCTCCCTTAATGCACACCTATATCAATACTCATATCCATATACAATGGGTCCTCAATGTAAATTCATTTAAAAATGGGTCAAATTGTGTGTTCAATTAAGTGTTAGGATTAATGTATTTCGACAAGTTCATTGTGAAGATTTACAAATATTGCTTCAGTTTCTTTATATGTGCTCAGCAGAGTTACTACTACTCTAAACCCACCCTTCCAGACATTTCTCTGTTTACAAAAAATATGAATGAATAATTAAAAGATATTATGTAAATATTTTCTAAACTTGGAAATGATGACAATTTAAGTTCAAAAAGGAATGTAATGTGTCACTTCTAACAGGTACTTAAGTAGTCCTACAACCATAGCCAAGAACTATAGATCACCAGCCAGTCTAGTATACTTGACACTCCTCCTAACAACAGTTCCAGCAGGTTGTTATAGAATTTTAATACCAATATGTTTTTAAATCATACTAAAACACGTCAGATATACAAATAAAACTTGTAATACTATACAGTAAATAAAACATGACTTTACAGTGTTTCATGCATTTTTCCTCTTGTGCAGCTTGTATTACATCATATGCACACAGCTAGGTAATCAATTCATAGATCAATTAGGATTTCCTTAAATATATTTCAGATAAAGTAGAATGACAAAAACATGTTTATATTATCAATTGTTCTTACTACTTATAACTTGTGTCTATACATGTTATCAGGCCAAGACATCTGTATGCCTTTATGGCATATAAAAGGGTTTATATATTTTTTACCCCCGTGACATTATAGATATTTGCATTGTACACAATGGTCCTGTTGATATAAAACAATTATTGGTCTTATTAACACATATTGTGTTTCTTAACTGGACATCAGAAAGGTGTATGTGTGTATATTTACTACATGTACAGTTTGAAACGTTTTTTATGAACATGTGGCACTTTAATGAACATATCTGTATTGAAATGAATTGTCCTACTACCCCTGTACCCCCAATTACTTTTACAGGAAATTGTACTGTAGATAATTTCACATCTATTATTTTTCTGATCTTATTGTTATCAAATGAACAGTAATTATTTGTTTGTCCTTATCAAATTGCGCTTAACAAAGGTGTCAATTAATGTAATAAAGAGAAGTTGGAGAATAAAAAATAAACAATGACCGTTAATTAGGGAGACAGATTTAAGTAGATAATGAAGGTGAAATTAATGCCTAATATTGGATTAAAGTAAGACCAATCATCAGACTGCCTTGACAAAAACAAGCACACCACTTCTGGGTCAAGTCTTTATAGCCATAAATCTATTGATTGGGAATCATGAACTCATTATTGTTTAAGTAAATCAAAATGCTGTTCTAGCACTTACATGGGACATAAAAGTTTCCTAGTTAAATAAGTTGTGTTTAAAGAAAGTTCTTTTTAATAAAAAAAATTCAAAATTCTGGTATTAATAAAAATGTAATTGTGTCTATTGTCTACATTTTTATTGAGAAATCTGCTTCTTTCATTAATTGTTGAATTCCAATAGAATTTTGAAAATATGCTTTGTAATTATTTTCGCAAACATCTTTCTCTAAATATAAGACAAACTATATTTTACAATAATTATGAAACAGATTATGACAAATTATATTAATCATTCTTGATGGCCCGGCTGTTAGTGCACAGGGAGGTTTTAATGTGGGAGCAAACTTGAGTACCCAGAGAAAACCCACATGGTTGTTGTCCAGGTGAATATTCCTACATCTTATCTTTCACATCTCCACATCTAATTGGGGAATCAAACCCCAGCCGCCTTACCATGTTATCCACTGCGAAACCCAACCACCCTATCACCATCATCTCTCTCTTCAGCTAATCACACTCTCAACAATTGGCTCCAGAACTACGTTCTCATGTAATAGTTTTTGTTTCGGACCAAGTTATACCTTAACGGGAAACGTTAACACAACAGTAATTCAAAAGGTGGAGCACGAAAAGGACTTGGGGATTGATTTCGATAATAACTTGAAATTTACCAGCCATGTCAACACGCAAGCGTAGAAGGCCAACAGAATGGTGTGATTAATATTTACTTTTACCTACATGAACGAGGCAATGTTCGCAAATCTATACAAGTCTCTAGTAAGATCTCACTTGGAGTACTGTACATCAGTCTGGTTTCCAATGTACAAAAAGGACCGGAAGACACTAGAAAATGTTCAACGTCGTGCCACCAGGTTGTTGCCACATCTCAAACATCTAAACTATGAGGAGCGTCTGCGAGTTTTAGGAATACCTTCCTTAGACTACAGACGGGAAAGAGCAGACAAGGTAAACCTTTACAAAATATGCAATGGACTTGTAGATGCCAACATGGATAAATTCACAACTTTCGAGGCCAGACAGAATGTACACAACACCAGAGGAGACAACAAAAAACTGTTCAAGAAAAGATTTAGGACCAAACTAAGAGGAAATGCCTTCTCCAACCGAGTGACCGAACCGTGGAACAATTTAGACTCTACCATAATAAACGCTCCATCATTAAACTGTTTCAAATCAAGACTGAACTGTGCGTGGAAACATCACCCAGGAAAATTCAGCCCCCCATGCTACAGAGCTGGAGGTGCAGACCGGGAGTCCGTACCAGTAGCATTAGTAGAAGCGTCAGTAGTAGTCGAAGACTAATGGTATGACGTCGACAAGCCCACCCTGATCCCTGATCGGTCTCTAGATCTGTCACCGTACACTATGTGATTTTAGCCTCACCAGTTAAGACTATAATCAGTACAAAAAGAAATCTCAATGACAAAACAATCATTAAACTCACTTTGACATCAATTTGCAACTGGATTGTTACAACAGATATGATAACTCAATAATCTTAACATCCATGTCATCCACTGTATGAAGATGTCACCTCCTGACATAAATGTGTCTATGGAGGTGCGGTAGTCTAGTGGTAGGATGCCAGGCTCGTAACCGAAGGATTCCGGATTCGAGGCACAGCACGGCACTGTACTCTGTACACTGTAAAGTAGATACTTTACTCCACTTGTTTCAGTCTGCTTAGCTGTAAATGAGCATATGGTTGGGCAGTGCTAGAATTGTAGAATGCTAGCTGTGAGTGCCGAAATGGCAGCACCGGCTGTATGCTCTCCAGGGAGTTGAGAACGATATTGGCTGGTTGCAAAGGCCCTATAACCACGGATAATAATTTGTGGACTGCTTTGAGACGACCTACAAACTAGGCTGTGATAAAGCAATATATAAGAACCTCAAATTATTATAATTATTATTACTATTATAACATCCAACATCGTATCACTTTTTACCAAGTTTTCAGATACAGTACTAATCACTAAAGAGCTCTCTAAAGCTTGTTACTAGAACAGCTAGTCCCTCCAACATAAGGGCTTGAGAAGACACATCTGTACAGATTGGAATAAGAGTTAGACAAGTCAGTATAACCCACACTGTATGTAACATACATCTGGACTTTGAACTCAGCCTGAACAGGACCAAAAAAATGAAGATATTTGGTCTAATAAAAAATATTAAATATTTCTAAAGTCATTTTTTGCTGAGTAATATATTTTTTGTTTCTACTTTATCTTGAAACAACTTCATGTTATTGATGTGCCTTGGTTACAGGCAAGGTGTTTTGGGATCTAAACAGATTTACAACCAATCTCACAGCACAGTAAATTTAAATTTCCCTTTCTTTTGTTTACTTTACCATCAAAATTTATCCCTGCTACTTAACTCAATAAATATTGGGTTAGACTTTTTTAAGTGGCATGAAGTCAAGATTATTCCTATCAAACAGTACATGTATTTAACAGTTGTTGTCATCCAATAACATGCTAATGAATAAATTATGAAACTGTGAATATAATGAATACATTTTTGAAAATGGTGCAGCATTTGTAAACACTATTTCTTTCAAAAATATGTCATTGAACAGCTGATCTTTACACTTTTCTCTATTTCTGATGTTAAAGTTAATCTTGTAAATGATCAAAACAGCTAATTTTAACAGAAGGACCTTTACTTGACTGATGTTCAGAGTTAAGAATGTATGCTACTTCACATTATACCTGTGATTAGTGTAAGGGGTTATATCCCTTTTACTATAACTCTTTTGTTTAGCAATTGCCTCATTATTATCAATGCATGTGTAACTTCAATTGAGTCAAAAATCATTCTTTAATAAAACTATTTCCGAGGTGTCTTAATCTGAACTCTTCAGGTATGGAGATACACAGTAAAGGTAACATACATCCTTAAATACTTGATGGGAGAATGTCATGTAAACATTAAGCCTTAGAAACAGTGATGAATGTTTTAAATTTTTGAAAAATAACATATTTTATAACTTTCCAGCAGTTTGATGAAATACATCCTGCTACATGTATGTAGCTGACGTGTAACCATTTATTTATATGCTTAACTTACAGAACTATACTCACATTGATATTGTATGTAACACTATTAAATCACACTCAGCACCATACTACATCAATAGAATGGAAACTTGCAGCCAAGATAGTCAATTAATAAAATATCAAAAGCTTCAATCTGTTACACCGGTAAATTTGATCAATATGTTTCTATATAAAACTTTGATTTTGCATCTGTTATTTGGTGATAGTGCACATGTGATGAGAAAATTAACTGTCTGCAAAATTAATGAAATATTGATTGGTTTTAATAGTTGCCATGGCTGTGAAATCAGCTGCAACAAATATTGTGGGTTTTTTTCAAATCTCATTATCAGGACAACAATTGAATTGGACATAAGATATCATGATTCCTTAATTAATAGTCTACCTACATTTTCCTGCTTAAAGATATGTAGTAAGATCATGGACTCAGATCAGATCTAAAAACAGGTTATTTTACAAAACAAACAAATGAATCACATGAGAATCTTTGATAACCGATTTTTTATACTAAAAAAAGTGTTTTACGTTACCTGTGAGTGACTCCAATTTTCCATCCACATTGAGACTTTGTCTAACTGCCTATCAAACTCCACACTGCTTTGGGTAGGGTGCCTCCCACCGTGCCCCCTCCAGTCCAACAGTCGCCGGTCATCTTCCTCACCCTCGGGCCTCCGCCTCCCTGTCTTCCCGTCCCTCTGTGGTGACAGGTGCCCCTTCCTCCCAGCCGCTGCAACTATTGGCGGTCTTTCTGCGACGGCGTTCATAATTCCCTCCTTCCGAAAGTATCATGAATAGCACACTTTGAATAGCTGTTGGTCATTTTACGGTTTAAATACCCACGTTTAAAAGAGCATTCTTGTGTATCAAGCGTATACACCGAACACCGGTCTCCAACTGCAGCAAAATCGACAGGTGAACACAAGCTTGGCAACACGGCACAGGTACACTTTCACGACTATAGCTCATTTCAATTAAGTCCGAATCCGTTACCGTCCGATCCCTGAAATACACATGAATCCACATTTATTACAAATAAAGTAACTACACTTATATTTTCTTACATACTGCATTCATTTTTCCTCAATGATAAATATCTTGATGACCAAGAGAAATTTTCTAATTCGTCAAAAGAAAAGTTTCCTGAACCACACGTGGCCCTTACTTGATCGTTGTAGTTGCCATAAAGTGCCAATCATGTTGTATACATATTACATTGCGATTCAATGGGGTCATAGAATTGTTTCAGCAGCTATGTTGTGATTTAAACTAGTTTTAGGAATTCAGATTATCTCTTGGTAAAAATGTCATCCCACTGATGTATGTATACTATATATATAGTGTATCAAAATCATTTTTACCGAGAGTTGACTCTGGACCTTCAAATTTCTAGTTATATCTAAACAGATCAGTTTAGGTCCAAAAATGGCTGTAGTAGCATAATATCGGTTCATGTGTTACGATTAAATACAAAAACTAAATAAAGGACCTAAATGTATACTGCTAAAATATCCGTGTAATGCAGCAACGAAATGTATATAACGATGCCTCCTTCACAATTAAATGTACTCACTTTTATATATTTAAAGTATGAATATAGACCTTGAATGCATTTTTTATAAACAGATATAAACATATTGTTGTTTAATTTGACTAATCCAATCCTACGGTAGAGATGGACAGAGGAGATTTATAGTAAAGTGGTACAACAATAAACGTTTTAATGACTGGCTCATTTCAATGTAGTGACGACGCTATTATCGCTGATTTAAGAGTTAATATACAAACACTAGCTAGTATAGGTCCCAATTGCACGAAATGTGTTGGTCGTAAATACACAAATTCAACAGAGTGTAATTGAAAAATATATTTCGTATAATTTAATTTGATTTCAAACATATTCAGTAATGGCGATGGATTCCTCATACGATATATCCTTAATAAAATGTGCATGACTGAAAATTAAATCAATGTGAAGATCAGGAATGGTAGAATGAGAACTGTTGATAAACTACAAACAATGTAAGCAACGATTTGAAGCAGAACCGAGTGATATTATGACATTGACCTTTGACATACGTCTCTGTCACAGTTTGTGTGTGACGTCAACAATAACTGTACTAATTTGATGACATTCCATCAAAGAAATGGTGTTTTAAAAACTTCATCAGAATCATATTACGACCTTGATCTTTGACCTTGAGTGTTTATAGCCTCCATACTATATATCTGTTGATATTGCGACCTTGATCTTTGACCTTGAGTGTCTACAGCCTCCATACTATATATATGTTGATATTACGACCTTGATCTTTGACCTTGAATGTCTATAGCCTCCATACTATACATCTGTTGATATTACGACTTTGATATTTGACCTTGAGTGTCTGTAGCATCCATACTATATATCTGTTGATAACTTTAAGAACCTGATATTGGTTTCTTTTCTCTGTTTGTGTGAACAAAGGACTGCACCAAAGAAAACCAAACAATTGAACTCCTCTACCAACTACACTCGTGACGGGAATTCAAAAATCTGCTAAGATAACACCACATCATACTATGATTGGATCAGCTTTTACCAAACGACGTCAAAAGCATATAACTTGATATTGAACTCGAATGCGTACATACACGAACCTTAGTATATGCCCATCTTTCACACATCCCGCTTTATGGCACTAACTGTGCTACATTTAGGAGGATTGTCCTGCGCTCACCTTTGCGTATTAATGGATCTACTGGTTAGTTTCCCACGAGATAAACAATATCCTTCAGATTTTCGATAAATATTATCCGTTTTGTCATTAAATATTTAACGAGATACACTTTATAAATACATGTATTCTATTTTGGGTTCCTTTGAAATACAACCCACTTCGCGATTTTGATCTGTTCGGTTATAGCCATTACATATAATGGTTTAACGTTTATAGGATGAGTCTAATACTTGAGTCAGTATCGTAATATATGTTTATCTATATCTGACCTGATTGTGCATGTTAAACAAAATCTGATAAAAATAATTCAGGAAACGTCCGCGTGATATTTTACAGGGTATACGTACTGTTATTTACATCATACGTTATACATCCTTGTTTGAGTTTCGACATTTTAAAACGATATACGTTAGAATACTGACGTCATGTAATAGATCCCTGGTAAAAAATATATATATAATAACATATCTTACTATATAGACACATGTTAATGCGTACATATAGACCTGTGAACTAAGTGTTACTTTGCGCATGTAACAGGATATACAGAAATGCAACGACCAGAACGGGACCCCAACCCGAGTCCCTCCGAAATCTAGCGCTCTTCCGCTACATACAAACAAAGACATCAATTAAGCTTCGTTAATTACCATCTCGTCCGTGAACCCAAATGGAAAGTTGATGCATTTAATAATGTTTATTTACTTAATATGATAAAATGATTCCGTCAACTACAAATTGATATTTCTTACGCATGGTTATATACCTCTAAAAAATCACATAGCGACATGACACCGACGTTAAATACATACTCCTCACAGTAAGTATCAGACATCTTTGTTGTTGAATAAATACACACGATTAAATTTATTATTACGAATGCTTTAAAACAATCAGGCAATGTTACGCATATCCAAATTCAGTACTTTTTTTTAACTCATTAAACCCTTTGAATATCTATACTTCTAAGTACAGGTATCATGACAGGTCTATACAGGCCTTGTTATCACCCACTGCACCTGTAAATAATTTTCACTAGTTATTGAGAAACAAGTCTTCTTCAATACCTCCTAATGCAACCGGAAGTGAAGTGGACAGAATTAAGAAGCACCTCAAGAAGCGACTGACGCTTACAACGGTGTCATAATCAATGAACCAATGAACCAATATCCTGAAAGTGTTAGTAACAGCTGAGGTTTGTATTTTCCCGGTTTTTATACTGTTTGCTGTTGGGCATAGACTCATCAGAAATAATCTAGATAAGATTTTTCTTCATGCCAAAATCAGTTCAAAGATTATTGTTTCAAACATTCATGGACATTTATAACTAACACCTTTTATTAGAGTTTTATAAGAATGCCTGATCATCAGATAGTCACGTTTTTCTCCCGGAAGAGTATTGAAACGGACTATAATTAATGAGTGAAATCGAAAGTTGAAAGAGAAAGTGAATGGTGTCGTAAATGACCTAGTTATTTCACCGTAAAATGTAGCATTTGGTATGGTACATGCTCATTATTTATATAGTAGATATGTGGTATTAGTGTGCGTTTATGTTCATTTTGATAAATTACGCGTCTGTTGATAATAAAACATATGTAACGTAAAGCGGTCGTTCTGCATGTGTTTAAAAGATGGCGGTCATAGTGCTCGACAACGGAGGCGGCTTTGCTAAAGTTGGATATTCTACGGACAAAGAACCAAGGTAGCTGTTGTATAATACACCCACAGTTTCTTCATGCGATTTTAAAGATATCTATTACCATATATATCAAATTGCGATTTTTTTTAATATAATATGCATTCATTACTCAACATTGACTTCATATCATGTTGATTTTTTCGTTGTTTATGTTGATAATCAACTCTCCACTTCAAGCATAGGCTGGATTCAGTAGAAAACACAGAGACAGAATACCCACATTTCTGTTACATTGTGAGGAATCTAAAAGTATAAAACCAGAAACCAAACAAAATACAAAGTTGAAATTATGTTAGTACCAATGCCAAAAATCTTTTATAAAAACATCTTTTGGGAAGTAGGTTATCAAAACATCACCAATACATTCAAGTACTGAAACATCACAGTGCCAAAACGACTAAGTACTGTAATGTCTTCACCCCTTGTTTGTGTTCTGTTTATTTGCAGTTTGATCCATAGCATGTTGTCTTGTTTGGATGCAAAATTTGATGCAAAAAGTTGAATTTTCTCTTTACTGTGGTTCCACTTCCCTCGTAAATATTTTTATCTATTTAAATTTCATAAGTATTGTTTTTTGTTATTAATTCATGTGAAGTTATATGTAGTACTATAGCAGCAGCGTCACAAGAATGATATATGTGCATGGGGTGGAATTAGCCCCTGGTCTACTCACTCTACTGGCCTGTGTCCAGTTGCATTTGTTTTCCAGGTGGACCAGTAGATATTTTGTAAATTCATCTGAAATTTCAGCAGATATTAAAAGCTTTATTTTAAGCCCATAATGTACCACAGCTTCTAGATTTCAAAATTTCTGGTGGGGAGTCAGAAGACGTATCAAGTTTGGTACTTGCTTTGGGCAGCAGCCCCGTTATCTGAATCAGTGCACTTCAAACAGGACCAGTAGATTTTTACTTTAACAACTAATATTGTTAAATTCCACCCCAGTATGTGTAACATCACCAACTGTGTATTACCACAGAATATTACCATAAAATATAATGTCACAAATCCAGTACAGCTGATGCCAAACTGGTGGTTAATCTTATCTTTTTTCAGTTTCTCTTACAAAATATGTAATTGAATATGTTAGCCTGGTTGACAGGAATGTTCTAACGTAGGAAAATTATGGATCAAGCAAGGCCACATTCAAACAAATTGAAAAAATATGCAGGGTACTTGCAAATAAAATTAAAGGAAACTTCAAACCAAAGCTGATTTAGTCGAAACAAAATCCTACAAAAGTCTCCAACTAATATTTGGCATCTATACATGTCCGTTGGCTGTTAATAATACCTGGCGGCACTCGTAAAGGTTAAAGGTACACATAACCCGAGAACCATACTGACAGCAGGTCATAGTGGTAACATACTACATATCTATATACTAGGGTTATACTGACAGATTCAGACTCATGAATGAAGTAAATGTAAATAATACCAAATACAACAAGATATGTAGATAATAAACCACAGAAAACAACTACCGAAAACTTCTAAGTTCTAAATGACTTAAAAGTAAAAAGAACTCTTATAAAAGTGATAAGGGGAATAATGTATTTAATCTTTAAATTGATGATACCCTTTGTTGTTGAGTGATTGCTGGTCATATGACATTAGAGAGCTAGGGTAAAATGTAAGGCTACAAAATGAATCTTGAGTTTGTTCAAGATTTTATTGTTTTTGATCAGATGTCAGGGATAATCCTGGAAGGGGCCATGGGGCCGTGCCATTGACCCCTCAAAACTGAAATTGACCCCTCCATGTTACAATTTTCTTTTAATTTTACATAGAATGGCCCCTCTTAATTTTGATATTGACTAAAAATTGCTGAAATGACCCACTGCTCTCAAATTCCAGGATTTTTTCACATTATATTAAATATTATAGAGAAAACATATTTTAGAGATATTATAGTTGTTTTAGAATACATTATATTTTTCATTTGAAATATTTAGTAAGTTATAGATATTTTTGTATTCAAACCTGAGTTATTAAACTAGAAAGGCACAATAGTTAACACCCCCTATGATAAATATTTATCCTTTTCAAGTAATTTCAATATTCGTACTGCATTTTTCTGCTGTCCTTTTCAAGTAATTTCAATATTCGTACTGCATTGTTCTACTGTTGGAAATAATATTACATTGTAAGCTGTGTATTGATAATCACAATCACAATGAATTCCTCATCATAAAATATATTTACAGAGGGTTAAAGTTATGAATTGCTGTGAGCAATTCCTGGTACAGAGTGCAATAAATTACATTAAACACCTTGGTACTTGCTACATGCTTGTAGAAAATGATTTTACCAATAACTCAGTGTAGCAGTTTGTACATTTAAAAGAATTTGCGAGAAAAATCGTGTTGAAACTGATTCTGAAAAAATATCACCCCACAAAAATGTCTGTTAGCGTGTCATACTGCGCCGCTTCCTTTTCTGTCATTGTGATCTACCTGCATTTTCAAGGTGTCATGCAGCTTGACAATTCCAGAATAAAATTATTTTCATATTCCAATAAAATAAATTCCAAGTAAAACAATAATACAGACTTGACTTACCTGTAATGAAGTACGTGTCTGTTATACATATATCCCATATCTCTCGGTCTCCCTTAGGGAAGTGTCACGCTGATTAAAATCCAGTTTGTTTGCGATCTAACTCCAGCTATCTAATAATCTCATTTTTTGAAAAGAAAATTCACTTGGTAATAGATTTTCATGTTTGATAATATAATCTTTCCTCAAGACGAAACTTTAAGACCAGTAGCATACCTACATACAAACCTACACACTAGTAAGTTATTTAAACACATTGATTAAAAAATATGTACTTTAAAGATTTAAATCCTCCATTGTTTCATGATCAGATGTTATAGTTATAAGGATCTAAAACCAGATGTTGACAATGAAAACACTTTCAGACAAATTAGAACACCCTCATTGCTGTTAAATATAATTACTAATTATGAATATCAATTTTACGTTTATCTTAATAAGACACAGCTGTATTTATTGAAGTGGTAAAACAGAATATCATAGTTTGAATTATGTCAGTCAAGCATGAATTATATTGGTGTCTGTACAATTACATGGTGCGTGCTTATATTGGTATGTTTTGGCAGTGTGTCAGATATACATACAGGTCTACCCTTCCTAATGACACCCTGAATACAAACTCTGTCATATAGAGTAACTAAATAGAGGTCCCGTCTGGGTCACCGACTACAAATGACCATTATTTGGAGGACTTTGTTAACTGATTATCTCTAGGTTTATGTTGAGTTATAGCATGGCTGGCCTGTCTTACAGTACTGGCTCAAGTAATTAATAAATTCTTTAGTTTTCTGTGTACAATCTAAATTTATCATTGTCGATGGAACTAGACATGTGTATGTATGGACTTAGAGTTTATCAGGTAGATAATAAGATTGCAAAAGATATATTTATTTGTGAGGAAGAAATCTTGTCCAGATTGAATGTTAATCTCTAGATTAAATGTCATAGATCTGTATTCTTTATGAAAACTTATCAAGATAATTTAATAAATATATTTTATATATTAAAGCTTAAGCTACAGTTATATAAAAGTACAAATCACCTGTCTGAAATGGACACCTGTGATTAAAGATAAATTAGGTAAAATCTTCAGGTAAAAATTAACACAACTCCTGTTCAAATATAACTGTATCAGTTGTTATTCTGTTTTACTTCGAATGAAAGGACATGCATGTCCACCCCACCCTTAAAGGTAATAGTACTGGAGGTAAGTCCCTGGAACTTTATCTGAAAGTGGTTGAGATTCCTACCCAATAATTATAACTGTATAAATAGTATGAAGAGACCAATACACATGTATATATGATACCTGGAATGCCTCCAGGATCCATCCCCAGCCTACAAAACATAGTCCCTGGGTCATAACTTTACAAGAGTTGCGATGTTTTCCCTTTTTACCATGTATACAACTGCTGGGCATGAAGAAATGAACACAATCATGATATCAGAACGGACTCAAGGGTCTTTCCCTACCCCTTTTTGGACTTGCTGATTTCAAAGAGAGACAAATCTATGTATGTTTACAGGATTGGCCCCATAGTCCATCGACACCCCAGGCAACTTAGTCCAAAAGAACAAAAATATGATTACCTACCACTAATATTATTACAGCTGTTGTCATGTCAAGTGGAGGTTGCTTTCATTTTTATTGTTTTCAGAATTTTGCCAAATTGTGTGACAAAGGCTAAGAATGTACGAACAAGGATTTTCATTGGGGACCAGATAGACGACTGTAAAGATCTGTCTGGACTGTACTACCTTTTGGCCTTCCAGAAGGTAGGTAATCAATCAGCACACAAACTGACCTTTATGAGGAAAGTTCTATAAACCAGCACACAAACTGACCTTTATGAGGAAGGTTCTCTAAACCAGCACACAAACTGACCTTTATGAGGAAGGTAGTATAAACCAGCACACAAACTGATCATCTTTATGAGGAAGGTACTATAAACCAGCACACAAACTGACCTTTATGTGGAAGGTTCTATAAACCAGCACATGAACTGATCATCTTTATTAGGAAGGTTCTATAAACCAGCACACGAACGGACCTTTATGAGGAAGGTTCTATAAACCACCTTTATGAGGAAGGTAGTATAAACCAGCACACGAACAGACCTTTATGAGAAGGTTCGATAAACCAGCCCACGAACAGACCTTTATGAGGAAGGTAATATAAACCGGCACACGAACAGACCTTTATGAGGAAGGTGGTATAAAGAAGCACACAAACTGATCCTCTTTATTAGGAAGGTTCTATAAACCAGCACACGAACGGACCTTTATGAGGAAGGTTCTATAAACCACCTTTATGAGGAAGGTAGTATAAACCAGCAAACAAACTGACCTTTATGAGGAAGGTAATATAAACCAGCTCACAAACTGACCTTTATGAGGAATGTATTATAAACCAGCACAAAAAGTAACCTTTATGAGGAAGGTATTATAAACCAACACAAAAAGTAACCTTTATGAGGAAGGTTCTATAAACAAGCACACAAACTGACCTTTATGAAGAAGGTATTATAAAGCAGCACAAAAAGTAACCTTTATGAGGAAGGTTCTATAAACAAGCACACAAACTAACATTTATGAGGAAGGTATTATAAACCAGCACAAAAGTAACCTTTATGAGGAAGGTACTATAAACCAGCACGCGACCTGACCTTTATGAGGGTGGTTCTATAAACCAGCACATGAACTGACCTCTATGAGGTAGATATTATAAACTAGCACACGAACAGACCTTTATGAGGAAGGGAATTAAACCAGCACACGAACAGACCTTTATGAGAAGGTTCGATAAACCAGCCCACGAACAGACCTTTATGAGGAAGGTAATTAAACCAGCACACGAAAAGACCTTTATGAGGAAGGTTCTATAAACCACCTTTATGAGGAAGGTAGTATAAACCAGCAAACAAACTGACCTTTATGAGGAAGGGTCTATAAACCAGCACACAAACTGACCTTTATGAGGAGGGTATTATAAACCAGCACAAAAAGTAACCTTATGAGGAAGGTACTATAAACCAGCACGCGACCTGACCTTTATGAGGGTGGTTCTATAAACCAGCACATGAACTGATCATCTTTATTAGGAAGGTTCTATAAACAAGCACACAAACTAACCTTTATGAGGAAGGTATTATAAACCACCACAAAAAGTAACCCTTATGAGGAAGGTACTATAAACCAGCACGCGACCTGACCTTTATGAGGGTGGTTCTATAAACCAGCACATGAACTGACCTCTATGAGGTAGATATTATAAACTAGCACACGAACAGACCTTTATGAGGAAGGGAATTAAACCAGCACACGAACAGACCTTTATGAGGAAGGAATTATAAACCAGCACACGTACTGACCTTTATCAGGAAGGTAATATAAACCAGCACACGAACAGACCTTTATGAGAAGGTTCGATAAACCAGCCCACGAACAGACCTTTATGAGGAAGGTATTACCTATAAACAAGCACACAAACTGACCTTTACGAGGAAGGTTCTATAAACCAGAACACAAACTGACCTTTATGAGGAAGGTTTTATAAACCAGCAAACAAACTGACCTTTATGAGGAAGGGTCTATAAACCAGCACACAAACTGACCTTAATGAGGAAGGTTCTATAAACAGGCACACGAACAGACCTTTATGAGGAAGGTGGTATAAAGAAGCACACAAACTGATCCTCTTTATTAGGAAGGTTCTATAAACCAGCACACGAACGGACCTTTATGAGGAAGGTTCTATAAACCACCTTTATGAGGAAGGTAGTATAAACCAGCAAACAAACTGACCTTTATGAGGAAGGTAATATAAACCGGCACACGAACAGACCTTTATGAGGAAGGCATTATAAACCAGCACAAAAAGTAACCTTATGAGGAAGGTACTATAAACCAGCACACAAACTGACCTTAATGAGGAAGGTTCTATAAACAGGCACACGAACAGACCTTTATGAGGAAGGTATTACCTATAAACAAGCACACAAACTGACCTTTATGAAGAAGGTATTATAAAGCAGCACAAAAAGTAACCTTTATGAGGAAGGTACTATAAACCAGCACACGTACAGACCTTTATGAGGAAGGTTCTATAAGCCAGCTCACAAACTGACCTTTATGAAGAAGGTTCTATAAACCAGCACACAAACTAACCTTTTTGATGAAGGTATTATAAACCAGCACACGCACTGACCTTTATGAGGAAGGTAGTATAAACCAGCACACAAACTAACCTTTTTGATGAAGGTATTATAAACCAGCACACGCACTGACCTTTATGAGGAAGGTAGTATAAACCAGCACACAAACTGATCATCTTTATTAGGAAGGTTCTATAAACAAGCACACAAACTAACCTTTATGAGGAAGGTAGTATAAACCAGCAAACAAACTGACCTTTATGAGGAAGGGTCTATAAACCAGCACACAAACTGACCTTAATGAGGAAGGTTCTATAAACAGGCACACGAACAGACCTTTATGAGGAAGGTTCTATAAACCAGCACACAAACTGACCTTAATGAGGAAGGTTCTATAAACCGGCACACGAACAGACCTTTATGAGGAAGGTATTATAAACCAGCCCACGTACTGACCTTTATGAGGAAGGGTCTATAAACCAGCACACAAACAGACCTTTATGAGGAAGGTTCTATAAACCAGCACATGAACAGACCTTTATGAGGAAGGTTCTATAAACCAGCAAACAAACTAACCTTTATGTGGAAGGTTCTATAAACCAGCACATGAACAGACCTTTATGAGGGAGGTTCTATAAACCAGCACACGTACTGACCTTTATGAGGAAGGTAGTATAAACCAGCACACGAACAGACCTTTATGAGGAAGGTATTGCCTATAAACCAGCACACAAACTAACCTTTTATTAAATTTTGCCTGTGAGATATTGAATTCTATCAACCTAATAAAAATATACTTTCAGACTTTGTCAGATATCCAAAGTGGTGTTTGTCACAGTGTGAACATATAAGATACTGCCTTTCTGTATTTATGATACATCAAAATAGTTTAATTCCTAATTACACCATTCAAAGCCACAGAATGTCTGGTCAGATACAGATGAAGCAATGATAGAAAAAGTGATTGTTTTGGTACATCATTGCTTCATATACCAAGATATTCATTTTACTAAATTAATCAGATTTACCGGTAAAAGCTTTAAGCAAATCTAAATCAGTAGTAATGAGTATGTAGCCCATTGAAAATGTGACACAGTCTTGTTGTCATGCTTATAAAAATATAAGGGCCAACAATTGCACTAAGTCCCTAACTGTTTTGATGCAGCAGAATTTTTGTCATTGTACAGTGTAGGTAGTTTAAGAAGGAAATAAATAGAAATTCAAATGGTTTTCCATATGAATCTCCAATATGTTACTCATGGGGCAAATTATACTAGTATTTTTACATGTGTTTTGCTTTCATTAAAATACTGGTATTCTGCCATTCTCATGAAATGTACATAGTATTCAGCAGGAAATGATTCAATATCTTCCGCATGTCTGTCTCAAAAATGGATGTTGATAACTCAGCTTTAGACCAGTGAATGTGCAGTAAACTTCAAATTTTGCATTCCTTGTTGATTTACTTCTGAAAATACAGAGCAGTTTACTTATTAATAAGAACATGTACATTTAGATCTATACATATGCATGGGAGTCCACTTATTACAACTGATCTAAGTTTATTCCCTAATTGCAAAATGACATGACAACATGATTATATTTAAATACTAAAAGACGAAACATGTATATTTTAAAATCTTTTTATTTTGACTCCTATGTGTTGTGAAAACTGTGTACTTTTGTATAATATATTATCTTGTACATACAGGGCTATCTTGTTAACTGGGATATTGAGAGACAAGTCTGGGACTACATGTTTGGTAAAGATTTTCTCAAGGTGAGATTTACTTAATCAATGATTCATGTGATTAATATCTTATAAATATGGACGAAAATCATATCCTTCATCAGGTGGTTCTTCCTTAACAGGACTGAAGTTCTTCATCCTTCTGATGGCCCATTGACTTAACTCCACTGTCAGGCAGCTGCAGGTCCTCTAGCCCATTGGCTTAGATTCTGTTGTCTTGTACATTGTGTATCATTTCTACTGCCAGTTCCTGTATAAACATTAGCATAAGAAATCAAGTTCATATAAGGATTGAATGGCATTTTCTATATGAATCAGTGACAGGTGAAAATAAGCACAAGGTGTCTACAATATGATACTGTACAAGGAAAATAGACATTTGCACAACTTGTTTTTGAACACTAGTCATTAATAGAGAAATATTTTCATGTTGAATTTAGATTAAAATTCTTTTTCTCCAGTATGAATCTTCAATTTGAATAAAGTAAAACTGATGTAAGAGTTATGAAAATTGATTGGAAATTTCATCTACAATCTTGAACAAATTAAGTGGTATATAAAGTTTGGTAGAAGTCTTCCTATTCTGTATGTCTGATGATCATGATGTTCTAGGATATACACATTTCTACAAATATTGAAGATACCCTTGGAAATTGTTTCAGGCTGACTTCAATGAGACCAGTATTGTAGTCACAGATCCTTACTTTAACTTTGCATCCATCCAAGAGGCTATGAATGAGATTTTGTATGAGGAATACCAGTTTAAATCAGTTCTACGTTGTAACCGTAAGTATATGTGAACAAGCACAGGACAGACCTTGTTGACCTGTCAGTGTTCTAGATTATAAAGACTGTGATTATAGGAACTAAACTCAGTAAGCTAACAAGGCCATACTCTGCTGGTAGTTACACTAACGTCCTGACTGGAAATCTAATATATGGACAAATCAGAGTTATTTTTGTTTCGAATACGAGTTTATGGTTCTGAGAATTACCGCTTTTTGAGCTTATGCCGTGGTGCGGCGTCCGTCCGGCGTCAATATTTTACTTTAAACAACTTCTTCTTAATAACCAAAAGGCCTAGGGTGATGATATTTGGCCAGTAGCATGCTCGGGTGAAGGGCTACCAAGTTTGTTCAAATGAATGACCTTCAATTATATTCAAGGTCACGGGGGTCAATTGTCTTAAAAAACCTTTTAACAACTTCTTCTGAATAACCAAAATGCCCAGGGTGATGATATTAAGCCAGTAGCATGCTGAGATCAAGGACTACTATGTTTGTTAAAGTGAATGACTTTGACTTATATTCAAGGTCACAGGAGTCAAATTTGTTTAAAATCTTTAAACGACCTCCTCTGAATAACCATGGGTGCCAGGATATTAATACTTTGCAAATTGCATCTTGAGATGAAAGGCAATACAATTTGTTCAACATAATGACTTTGTTCGACTTTCAATCACAGAGGTGGAATGTTTAAAAACATGTTTGTAATCCTGACCATTGCAGCATCATACTTGAGTCAGTATAAGTACCGGAAGGAATGTCCAGACAAACAGCTTTGTACCATGGTGGTGGACACTGGCTATTCCTTCACTCATCTTGTACCCTACTTCAAAGGCAAGAAGATAGAAAACTCAGTCAAAAGGTACTGTAGCAAGCCAGAATATAAATTAATGATGTAGTAGCATTTATTTGCTAAAATCTTTTGAACGCTTTGCCTTTTTTCATATGAGTATTTATTTTTCTGAAATGTTGCCGTTTAAAGAAATCTTCTTGTAATTCTAAATGTCAAATAATAATATTTATTTTGCTTTTACTTATACTGATAATCCACAAAACTAGATACAAGCTTAGCTGCACAAAGCATCCATGTTGGTTTTCAGAATTTTTAGGAAATTTTCAAAGTAATTTATCTGGATGATGGGATTGCTAAAGATGTAATACTTATGTTTGCTTCATCTAAATTTCAAGAAAAGGGTTATGCACCATGAGTTTTATCTCTAGGTCTAAAAAGGTAATATGTGTATTTCTGGATTAACCCTGTTAAAAACTTGAGGTGGGTAGGGTAGATAGGCCTGGTAGGACAATATTTCATTTACATATCTTTTATGTAGGTTATACTGTACAAGGATCCTATATAAGTTTATGTGCTTGTTTAACATTGGCTCAAAATATTTAGTGTAGGTTGTCTCATTTGTCAAAAAAATAGAGACCGAGTTGTAGAGAAACCAGAAACATGCAATAATTCATTTATCAAGCTTTTTGACCTATACCAAGTACCTCAGCATTTCTCTTTTTAGTACATGTATTAATATACATTGATTTTCTCTTGCAGGATAAACATTGGTGGGAAAATTCTAACAAATCACTTGAAAGAAATCATTTCATACAGGTAAAATACAGGTTAATAGGTTTGACTCTAAATACAACTTATTGCCAAACTCATATACATGTAGATTTTATACCAGGAATAGTCTTTATTAAGGTAAAGAGTCAAAGTATTTTATTTGATAACTCCAATGAAGAGTTTTTCCAATTTGTTCAGAATTTGTTTTCTGTACTTGGAGTTGCTTGCCTGTTTAATATCATAATTTCCTTTTACCTAAAAAACCCATCTTTACTTTTCTGCGAGGATTAAAACCCAGGACCTCTTGAATATAATGCAGGGAGTTAAACCACTGTGTCACTGGTGGTGATATGTGTTACATTTAGTACTTTTCTGTAACATTACTGAGGATACATTTAAAATGTCTGAACTCCTTAAACGGTCTGCTGCCTATTAATTGGTCTTTGTATGTATCAGAAAAATAACTTGAAGGCCATTTAACATATTTTCAGTTTTTAAATTATTTTTGGTTGGGGCGTGGAGTTAATGCTTTGTAATATCAAGATATTGTTTATTCATTTTACTCACAGACAACTGATGGTGATGGATGAAACTTATGTTATCAACCAGCTGAAAGAGGATGTGTGTTACGTCTCGCAACAGTTTACCAAGGACATGGAGATAGCCAGGTAAGGGGAGGTAACTCATTTGGAAATTGATTCAGATGTTTTGCCATTATATTTTGTCAGTATGTCACCAAAATGAAGGAGAGTTTTTATATATACAATTTTTGAATTCAAAATGTTTGCAGACCTGTAAATTGTATGAAACTTTAAGAATGAATAAACATTAATCAGATATGGTAATAAAGACACTAACATTGACCTGTTCTGCACCACTTCTTGTAGAGTTAAATGTAATCATGCTACCACATATATTGAATCAATGACAAGCTTTTCCACGACATACTCCAAAGTGAAACATTTCAAACAGGTGGTCTTGGATGAACAAAGTGCGGTCTAAAACATATACCAGGTGAAACATTTCGACATTACCAAAAGTTTTTCAGAATTGGATTCCGGCATCATTTTCCTCCAAAAACCACTCATCTAAAATATCAGCCCTCTAGCACACATTTTGAATCAACCACAAGCCTTCAAATAACTTTAATACACTACAAAAAATTGTCGCACACTGATACCAACACGGGACTCTTAGTTTTTCAAACTGGCATTCTTCTGTATGTTTTGTTCATGAGACATCAAGAAACTATACAATTGATTTTCTTCCCCCTATTTTTCCTTTCCCTCTAACCTACTCCTTCACTTTTGTTTGTGTTTCCCTAGCCACCTCAGCTAAGCCCGTCACCCTAGCTACCTCGGCTAAGCCAGTCACCCTAGCCACCTCGGCTAAGCCCGTCACCCTAGCCACCTCGGCTAAGCCCGTCACCCTAGCTACCTCAGCTAAGCCCGACGCCCTAGCCACCTCGGCTAAGCCCGTCGCCCTAGCCACCTCGGCTAAGCCTGTCACACTAGCCACCTCGACTAAGTCTGTCACCCTAGCTACCTCGGCTAAGCCCGTCATCAGAATAATGTGACTGGGTGGAGTGTCATGCTACCTTGTCTAGTTATGACGTCATGTCAGTGACTCTGGAGTCACTCATTCATCAGTGGACAGTCCTCATGATGTTAGCTGTTACAAAGGCAAAAAAAAATTAACGGAATGAACCATCAGATCTAAAGTCAACTTCATGCTCAGCAGATTGAGTGTTTAAGATATTTGTGTTTAGTTTTGAGATTAAGTATTTAAGATATTCATGTTTAGTTTTGAGATTGAGTATTTAAGATATTCGTGTTTAGTTTTGAGATTGAGTATTTAAGATATTTGTGTTTAATTTTGGAAAACAAACAGAATTTGACTGTATACCTGGTATGTAAATTTGTTGAACAGAATGAAAGGTCCAAACAACACGATAGTGAGGGACTATGTACTACCAGACTATACCCACATAAAGAGGGGCCATGTAAGACCTCAGGGTGAGACTACAGGCAAGGCTAAAGATGGCGAACAGGTACATAACAATTTGTTCTTGGTCTCCTTTCATTTTGAACAGATCCATTTTTATGTGTCTTTTATGAAAACCTTCAACAAAAAGTATAGCACTGCTCCATTCAAATCAATCAGAAATGCTATCTGTCTTGAGAGAAAATGGACTTATTGCTTTAAACTGTATTTGTATGACTATAGCTCGTACGGATGTTATTTCCCCTTAGTCTATAAGGTAATAAGTTGACCTATGCTTATCACTGTAGCTCATTCAACTGTTACCTTTCTTTATATTAATTTGAACGTGGAGCTATTACTAAGCCTGTCTGTATCGGTGTAGATTAATACCTCCCTTTAGTTTGAACATAGAGTGATTGAATTGTTTATGGTTACAGATAATTCGTATGGGTAACGAGAGGTTTGCTGTACCGGAGCTGCTGTTCCATCCCACAGACGTGGGTATACAGGAGATGGGCATCGCCGAGGGACTTATCCACACAATCAGCTCCATGCCAGAAGGTACTGGAACTTATGGATGACCAAAAATACACTTGGATAGTATTGACTATAATGTAAATGTAAAGTAATGAACTACTTATTGGACTTTAAGGGAGTTTTTATTTAAAAAAATGATTAAACAATCAGAAAAGTTTGATTTTCATGAGCTTTCTGTGAACTATAATGATCTGCTCCATCCCCGTTTCTGTGAATGATTTAAAATTTAAGGAAAATTTGTTTAGTCAATTTCTTGAACATCTTTGAAAGTTCAGTAGAATGATATTTGGTTTTGCACATACATGTAAAAAAAGTCATTTGTGTAGATACATTGTAGATTATTATGTCTTATTACAGATATCCAGCCCCACATGTACAACAATATCGTGCTAACAGGAGGAAACTGTCTCCTCCCAGGATTCCATCAACGTCTGTAAGTTTCTGGTGAAAAAGGGATTTCTTGACTCTGGATTTATTTCTTTTTGTTGAAAAGAAGGATCTCCAGTATTTTGCTTGTTATTTTGTAGTAATTTTGACCGTTCAAATTTGAAATTTCTTCACATTTGCTAAAGTGACGTAACATATTTGTAGTTGTGTTTTAAGCATGAGTTGCTTTACCACACAATCAACACAGACATGCTTAGTGATGGCAGTTTTATTGAAAACGAAAAGCATGTATTCACAGGGATGCAAACTTTTCAGTCTGTAAAATTATCTTTCTGTTATATTTCAAAGTCAGATAAATACTTCAAAAAGTTATTTCATGTAATGACAAGGTACAATTATAATGTACAAATTAACCACAACATGTTTGTTTGTTGATAAATGTGTATTTTGTTTCCAATCCAGGGTGACAGATGCAAGGAGTATGGCTCCAGATGAATATGACCTGTCTATAACCAATCCATCAATCAAGTAAGCCTCAAATGCAGACTAATCAGATTAGTGTTATCAAGCTTGTTTGTAGAGACACAATTTTTGTACTGACTGTGTAAGAATGATGTACAACACTTTTCAGATATTCTTATTAAAGGACTTTAAATACATGGAGGATGCAGTAACTGTCTGAGAATACATGTTTAGTGTCTAAAATACAAAGAATACATGGTTAGTGTCTGAAACACAAAGAAAACATGGTTAGTGTCTGAAACACAAAGAATACATGGTTAGTGTCTGAAACACAAAGAATACATGGTTAGTGTCTGAAACACAAAGATTACATGATTAGTGTCTGAAACACAAAGAATACATGGTTAGTGTCTGAAACACAAAGAATACATGGTTAGTGTCTGAAACAAAGATTATATGGTTAGTGTCTTAAACACAAAGATTTTATGGTTAGTGTCTTAAACACAAAGATTTTATGGTTAGTGTCTGAAACACAAAGAATACATGGTTAGTGTATGAAACAAAGATTATATGCTTAGTGTCTTAAACACAAAGATTTTATGGTTAGTGTCTTAAACACAAAGATTTTATGGTTAGTGTCTGAAACACAAAGAATACATGTTTAGTGTCTAAAATACAAAGAATACATTGTATTGTCTGAAATACACAGAAAGTTCATAGAATTTACATGGTAAGTGTACCAAATACATAGAGAGGACATGGTTAGTGCCTGAAACACAAAGATTACATGGTTATAGTGTCTAAAACACACTGAATACATTGTATTGTCTGAAATACACAGAAAATACATGGTAAGTGTATCAAATACATACAGAGGACATGGTTAGTGTCGACTAGAACACAAAGTTAAGGTCCAAATAAATAGGGATTACCTAATAAGTGTATGAAATGGTGAGGAAAGATGAAGCCAATATATATTAGCCTTGTATTTTACATTCACTATGTTATCTGTACAGTTTATCCTGAAATCTTCCTGCAACCTTACAATTTCGCTCAAAAATAATGACCAAAACTGCATACTGCAGTCAACTCAATTTGAGCCCATGTCCTTCCAAGCGTTTCACAGCCTTCCCCCAGCTTTTTCTGAGGGCAGGTGTCAATATTCTACTACATATTCCCCGAGATCTTGCTTTGCCTCCATAATGGAACTGTTATGGATATCTAAAATGTAAAAACAAAAATATTTAAGAAAGTTTCAAAACCAAAATCTAGAAATAGAATACTTCATTACAAGAGCTTTAACTCAGACCAATTCATATACACAAGTCATCCTGGTTAGCTGCTATCTAAACGTGGGTAATTGCTGGCCTGGTTAGCTGCTATCTAAACGTGGGTAATTGCTGGCAAATTCTAACATGTTTTTTTATATGATTTGAACAACTTCTCAATGGTCTTCACTTATGAAATTGTTCTAATAAGTGCCCCTCTATTTTCTCCTTTTTACATGGAGCCTGCAGGATTATTAGGTGAAAAATGGAAACCTTGTTCACAAAATTGCTGAGTTCTTTTGTTCAATATGGCACCAAATGTTATGTAAAAATTACACAACTGACCAACAACATGGATGTTTTGAGCCCACTTATCACATAGGATTTAAACACATATTTATTTGACAGCTGAATCTCTGTTTTGAATGTTTTTGGTAGTGGACATAATTAGAATATGAAGCATTATCATGCCACTTCCCCTGATAATCAATATGGCTGTCTGCCTTTAAAAAGACAGATGGTGTCATTTTCAATTTTGTGCTAATTAGTTGTAAAAGTCAACCTTAGGTTCTGATGTTGTGATTTCTGGTTTTATAAATTTCATTACAAAAAATAGCTAATAATTGTAGTAAAATGAGTATAAAACAATCATTACTGAAGATGAATGTGTGCTTATATAGTTTTGACTTACTGTTTTCAGTCCTGCCACATATGCCTGGTCGGGCGGTGCAATGCTGGCTCAGGACCCAAACTTCAGTAAAATTTGTGTTACACGCGAGGACTATGAGGAAAATGGACACGGTATATGTCAGGAAAAATTTGATGTGTGACAAATAATGAAGAGACAGCCGTCCGGATAAATTTGAGGAAGAAGCAAGCAGGAAAAGACGAACAATAGACTGTTGACTGTCGTGAATCACTTCAGTATCAGATTTTGTTTCAGTGTCTAATCTTACTGATTATTTTAAACAGCAACAATATCCTCCCATCAGGAAAACCAATTCGACAAAAACATTACCATCTTCAAAAGTCAGTTTTGAAATTCTGCAGCGAGTGATTTTCGAGGCTACATTTTTACACAAACACAATACCGGTACCTTTGTCCATTCACACTGGGAGAAGCAAATCACCACCTACATCATGTGTTCAAAAGATGTAAAAATCACATATTGTTTATTGCTTTAAAACATGAAGCAAAAGTGCAGATGATCACTTCATGTTAAGCAGTTGTGAGCTTATTTTCTGTGAGAATGTATACACGCCATTGTTTAAATATCTCAGTGATATGTACATTGTGTATGTACAGGTCATATATATTTGTTCTAGAATATTGATTCTCAGGATCAATATGAAATTTTTCATGATTTGAAAGACAATGTTTTAACTTGCTCACCAGACGTGTTCATGGCATTTTGATGTATTATATTGTATTGTAAGTCAGCTCTCATTAATATCATAAGGTATATCTCATTTACCTCTGGGGGTACACAGTTCAACCAGCAAGGAGATATCCTAAACTGAGTCAAACGTATGTGAGATTGAGGCACTGAATGTTTGTAAGGAATGGGTATATCTATTGTAGTCACAAAGACATTTACCATGATGTTTCAACCTCCTAAACTGTCTTGTATCATACTGTTGTCATAATATTGAACAGTGGATACCAGCTGGTTTATTAATACATACATTACTTATATAAGGATCCAGTGTTTAAAACTCTGTCCAATTTAGATTTTTGTCTAAATCGGCCAAATAATTTGGTTTGACAATGACAGTGTATAACAAGTAGACACTCTACAATCTGGTACTCTCGCCAGTCATCCAAATACCTGGTCCCAGGGATGTCTGGTTTAGATAGAATACAAATAAGTATTCTATTCTATTGAAATAAACATGGAAGACTTAGGTCAGATTTGTTTGTGATTGGAAAGTTTTGTCCAGACACAATTATTAAGGAACATTGTACCTGTACAAATGACATGACTTGATATTGATAAGTGTGAGATCATTATATCCATCCTCATTCCCAAACACATTTTTAGTTTTTCTGGTGATTTTTTGTGTTTGTTTTTACAAATGTAGATTTCGTTTCAGGAATGAGACATTCAGTGAAACAAAATTGCTATACATATGCTCCAGATGCTGGCATCTGGTCTGCATTATAATGATAGAGAATAAAACTTAATGTATACCAATGCCTGAATAATATCAGACAGAAAAACAAATGTTTGGTGAACATTGACAATAAAATATCAATTGATGTTGCCACTGTCTTTTAAGTATTTTACTTGGTTTTTATCTTCATTTGTGTGCCAGTCATCTTTCATCTGTCAATTTTCTTGTGTAAAGGGTATAGATCAGAGGTCCCTAAAGCAATGATTAACAAACGGGCATCACACTATGTAAATAGGTACATCATGGGAGGAGGATGTCGCAGCCTAAAGCGAGGTCACTGACCTAAAATTAAATTGGTACGCAGGAAGTGTCCAACATTTCTTCAAGATTTGAAAATAACTAGGGAAATGAAGTTTCCAAACATTAACCACAGTTTGAAATACTAAAGGGTAGAATGTACTTTTACTTTAAAACAAGAGATCCCAGAGGGATCTTGGCACCCACCTTTGTACCATCTTCATTAGTTCTTTCTCGGTTCGATCTTTTCTCTTTCCTCTAATCTATTTGAAATAGCGATACTAAACAAACTTTCACTATCAAAATCCAAGATGGCTGCCTGTCAGCCATGTTGTTTATCCGATCAGTCTCTAAAGTTGCCCTACACAGCTAAGGACCAAGGGGAACCTACATATAAAATTTGAGAAAGATCCCTCTGGTACTTCTTGAGAAATACCGATAACAAACTTTCACTATCAAAATCCAAGATGGCTGCCTGTCGGCCATGTTGTTTATCCGATCAGTCTCAAAAGTTGCCCTGCACAGCTAAGGACCAAGGGAAACCTACATATAAAATTTGAGAAAGATCCCTCTGGTCCTTCTTGAGAAATACCGATAACAAGAATTGTTTAAGGACGGACCACGGACCATGGACGCAGGGTGATTTGAATAGCCCACCATCAGATGATGGTGGGCTAAAAAGGGAGAGACACTTGCAGTCAATCAGTAGTTTCTGAGAGACACTTGCAGTCAATCAGTAGTTCCTGAAAAGAAAACTGCTTAGAGAACCTTTCCAGCTTTTATCCCAAAGAAAGCCACACCTCTTTCCTAGTGACCTTCCAAGGAGTGTATGTACTCGCTGTTTTTTTGTGAAATTGTGACTATGGTATTATCACTGTAGATTCTACACCAGAACACTCGACATAATGATAAGGTTTGTTCAGCTGTGATATCACATTATTTGGATGTAGAGGTAAGAGTTCTTCTGTGACATCAGCATAAAACTGTTGACAGAACAGTTATCTACCCTGGTATACAACATTGGTGTAGTCTGGAAAACGTAGAAACAAGCTCAATAAGGGTGGATTATAAGCTGGTCAACTGTCATAATAATGTAGGTATATAGGTATAAGTATACTAGGAATACCTTGCAACTGAGTGGCAATGACGGTAAGTACTGCGATACAACTTTACAGTTAGACCAATGCCATCCACATGTGTGACATTTTTGAGGAATACAGCTTTCAGACCTTTGAGCTGCCCTTGCAATTGTTCTATAGGCATTCCATATATATGTGAAATATATGTGTGCACACTGCATTTTGTAAGGTCAACCATGGCCAGGATACAGCAGTTTGACCTTGACCTTGTGCTTGAGTAATAGTCATCTTAAGTTATAATTTATATTTAAGATGCTTAAGAAAGTCTATGATCCTTAAAAGTGGCACTTCATATATATATGTGAAAGCAGAGATTACAGTATGACAACATATCAATCATATCCAAACCAAAGATTTATATAAAAACAATTTATTATACAGAATCATACATTAAATGGTATAACAATATCACAGTTTCTTTGGCACATTAGCGATAATAGGCTTTGGTCGTGTTTTGAACAGAAGTCTCCTTCGTATGATAGCTTTAACAAGATAATGAGTGTCTGTATGTTGCTTGTCAGTATTGTCCTGATCTAGCACTGTATCATTGTCGGTGTCTGAGTGTTTCTTTGTCAGCACAGCAAATGGTTTCTCTAGATCACACACTTTTCCATACAGGATATGATGGCCGATGATAAGCACAGGAACATTCTGAAATAATAGCATAGTGAACCTTTTTAAAAATTTGGTTTCAAGCAGTCAATAAAATTGACAGCATATAGATCATATTAAAACAATATTCTTGAAATATTTGTGGTTCTCAGTTTGATTTTTTCCTCCATTTCAAAAGGGGATGTCCAGTGAACAAAGTTACCCAACTCGAGAAGTGTTTTGAGTAAAGGTTTCACATGGTGAGATATCAAAGGTGCTAATGCTCAAATTTTCAAAATTCAGAGTGTTTACATTATATCTTGTTTTACTTGCATTTAAATGTTTCATAGCTAGGATCATTAGCATTCAGAATAGAATATAAGGTGTAAGTAAACCTATATATACAAGGTAGCTACAGTCTATCATTCATCAAACTTTCATAAGTAAAGATAAAAGTATAAATCAATGCACCTTACTTTTAGTTACTGAAAAGCGAAAAGCGACCTTTTATAAATTTATTTAAATGAGCAAATGGCATTTTGACCTTTTACAATGTTTAAATTTTCGGATTTGCTCGAGCCTGGAAATTGGTATCCCCAGTCCCCACCAATTTTAGATATCTACTGTACATGTAATAGTACGCTCACATTTATGTGGGAAGTGCTACGGTGTTGGACTGTTAATCACAATATTGTGACTGGACTATAAATCAGTACCATTTACATGGTTCTTTATACTTCACAGCATTGCTTCCTTTAACAGAATACAGTAATGTGACCTTGATCCAAGTTTGTATCCCCAAGGTCAAGGTCATAGAGTATGAATCCGGAATGTTCTACTGAAATATGTGCCTTGGTCATAACTCTGTATCATTGGGCTTAATCTTGGTCATACGTCTCGGCATTATTGGTTAATTATGACCTGTCTTGCGACTTTTGACCTGGCTAAGGTCATCTCAAATAAGAAGGCTAACAGGCATGGGGATCTAAAAAGGTGAACAGGTCACTAAGCATCACTAAATTATATGGGCATATTATTGGTCCGTTTTTCTTTTGAACAACTGGAGGACCTAGGGTCATGATATTTGGCCAGTAGGTATACCTGGGATGAAGTGCTATATAGTTTCCCCCATTAAAATGATCTTGACCTACTTTCAAGGTCACAGGGGTCAAATATGTTAAAAACTTCAAACAACAATATCTAGTTCAGGCGTAGTACGAAGTTAACGAAGCCATGTAACATGATTTTAATCAGATTGGACTAATGTCATGATACTTGGGTATGTTATGAAGACCAGCAGTAAAAATCTTTTACCTCATTTAAGTAATGAGGTCAAAGGTCAACTTTAAGTGCTAGTCGGGGGTCAAAAGTCAACATGGGTAAAAGCTTGAACAATGTTCTTATCAAGTTCCAAAAGACCAAGGGTCATGATATTTGGCCAGTAGGTACCTGGGATGGATTGCTATAAATTTTCCTCATTAAAATGACCTTGACCTAGTTTCAAGGTCACAGGGGTCAAATGTTAAAAACTTCAAACAACAATATCCTAAGAACCATTTGGACTAGAGTCATATAAATACTTGGGTATGTTATGAAGACCAGCTGTGTGAATCTTTTTCTCTATTACAGTAATGAGGTCAAATTTAAAGGGCAACTTTAAGTGCTAGTCGGGGGTCAAAGGTCAACATGGGTTTAAAGCTTTAACAATGTTCTTATCAAGTTCCATAAGGCCCAGGGTCATGATATTTGGCCAGTAGGTACCTTGAATGGAATGTTGTAAAGTTTTCTCATTAAAATGACCTTGACCTAATTTCAAGGTCACAGGTTTCAAATATGTTAAAAACAACAATATCTTAAGAACCATTTGGTCTAGAGTCCTGATTAAGAGATGTTAAGATGTCTTGTGTTCTAGTTACCAGATTTGGTCTGAAGTTACCTATATGTCAGTTTCATGTAACAAAAGAAACAGGTGAGCGATACAGGCCCCCTGGGCGTCTTGTTTCTATAAGTTTTATACATTTTCTCTCTCAATTGGTAAGACGTATCGAGGCTACTGAGTGATACCTCCAGTTGTGTAAGGTTTTTCCTCATACAGGTACTTAATTCTGCTCAGCAGTTTAAACAAAGTAAAATGTTTGAAGTGTTAACGACATGTGTATTTCACGTTTTTATATGAATTTTTCGTGTTATTACGTTTTTATTTCACATAATTACGTGATCTTTGGCGTTATGACAACTTTTGCTTTCACGTTATTACGTGTTTATTTCGCATAAGTGTTTATTTCATGTTATTACGGGAATTTTTGGCGTTAAACATTTTTTCTTCATTATTACGTGTTAATTTCGCGTTATTGCGACTTTTACTATCGCATTATTACGTATTTTTTTACGTTATTAAGCGTTTTTTCAAATTGTAACACGTTTGTTTGCGTAATAACATGTTGTTTTTTTGCGTTAATTCGACTTTACAGTATTTTTATTTTATATAAGTAACCCTAATAGGCTTTCGTACATTACCATGTTTTGCTGTTATAAATTTTCCAATTTGAAAATGATCAGGAATAACAATTTTTACCTTGTGTGTAAAATGGAGATCACCCATGAATCGTCCATTTAGAGAAACATTGTTTCTTGTCTCCAGTCCTCCCTGAAGGTCAATAATGGCCCACTCTGGACACTGGCCTGGCCCTCCTGGTCTGTGTTAGGAAATAAAATCTATATATATAGTATATCAAGTACGTGCAATTGTGTTAAAACCAATATTTCAACATGAGATTATAAGATACATGTATGTCATGCAGTATCAATTAACATTTCCCCAAAACATATTTCCCTTTTAATTTCCTTTCATATATGTTCATCTTGTACATGTATATATACAAGAACATTTTCCTCCACTCTATCAATAGGGAATTTATATTTTTAAGTCACTAACTGGAAATGACATGAAATTTGTTACGCACACACACACACACTTTAATAACCATAAATATAAATAAATGATCTTCATTCAACGGCATGTACATAGTCATCAACAAATATAAGCTTTGTAGAGCTTATATTACGACACTGGTAAGGGAACAAATGAAATGTTGTTTTCGTGGTGGAGGAACACTCGGGGGTTTGGGTAGCAGAGTACAGTAGCGTACGGTGGCCATGGGTGATATTTTTATACAATGAATAACCCCTGTAATATAACATGTATCAAAATTTAAAAAAAAACAATCATGTGGGCTTCATAATTTTTCCAAAAAAAAAATCAAATTTGGTTTGAGACTACAATTTTGGGCATTTACAAATCTGTGTCTACACAACAAAAGCTAGCTTTTCATGTAGTCTATTTTTGTACTCAGCACATGTGTAAATATTGTGAAAAATCCACCGGAATGACCTATGCTAAAACGTGAGTATTTCTGTTACCGAGTAGGCGATATTTAATTTCAGACAGGTTTTAAGAAAAACAATTCTACTTGCGGGGGTCAAATTCTGGGTTAAAAATCATGATTTTTTGCATATTTTGGTGTTTTTTGATATGGTAACCATGGTTTTCAGAAGTCCCAAATCTGGGGAAATNTAAATATTGTGAAAAATCCACCGGAATGACCTATGCTAAAACGTGAGTATTTCTGTTACCGAGTAGGCGATATTTAATTTCAGACAGGTTTTAAGAAAAACAATTCTACTTGCGGGGGTCAAATTCTGTTAAAAATCATGATTTTTTGCATATTTTGGTGTTTTTTGATGTGGTAACCATGGTTTTCACAAGTCCCAAATCTGGGGAAATCACTTTTTGAAAAAAAAATGTTCTTCTAAAAAGGCGTATTCAAAATGTAGTTTATAAATATATATATATATGTAGGTGTGTTGTGCAGTATGAATCCGCTATCCATGTTTATCCGAGACATGCCCTTTATTTTTAGGGTCAAGCCATTTCTACTGTACTCTGACACCTTGGGGGAATTCCACTGTGCTGTCATAGGGATTCTTGGGAGAGCGAGTTGTATAAAATTCACACTTGATGATTGCACACAGTAGAAAAGACACAGCTACCGATTGAGGTACCTTACAATGTCTGGAATGAGATTAATTAGGGAAGGGTATATACATACAGAATGTATAATAGAAAAACTGAGCTTACATTTGCAAAATTAATTTACATTATTTATTAAAAATGTAATATTTACTACGAGTTACTCCCCCTCAACCTCATTACCGATAATTTAGCTCCGAATGGAGCCCGGCACATTATAACTGGAAGAATAATATCTTTTTGAGGAACAATATGAATGTATTGCTGATTTTAACAGATATTCGGCACAAATTTATGAGAAATATATATGGCGCGGTTATAACACTTCATCACGGAACAAGTTTATCCTTTGCATGGAATAACTGGAATAAACTAATCTTGGTTCGGGTTGACTGGTAGTGGTACGGATTGCCGGTGGTACGGAACGACTGTAATTCGTCATAACCGTGCATATTGAGCCTCCAACATTGCAGATTATATTAGATATCAAACTTACATCTTGATCGGTATCTGCATGCTGCTACAATATTTGTTATGTATGACTTATCCCAGAATTGATTCAGTCCAAGGCTAATGTTTACAATCCGGTCGAGTGAAATTTACCGCCAAGTTTTTCAGTACGGTACCTAGATGTAGAGTTAGCTCCCTTTTCAAGCGTCTCCTCTCACATTTCCGGCAACATGGCTACTGTAGAATCGATGGTTGTGGAAGATCAGAAAGAACCAGAAAAGCCGATTGATAGAGAAAAGGTATACTTCTATTACTTTTTATATAAAAGATTTAATGTTTGTGCGATACTTTACCTGTTGCTTTCGACAAAATAGTTACTTATGTATGTATAATAAACTTGCGTACGAAGTAGTTGTGAGCGGCCCGTTCGACCCGTTGTAAGTTCTGTTGTTCGCCAATAGCTTGGTTCATAACAGCTCAACACATCTACCATTTTGTCACATTCAATTGGTTGTTGTAGTAGTGAAACATTTTATTAAAGAATATCTGCTATGTACTTTACACCTCAACACTATCATAAGAGGGTTTCAGGCCCGTATAATTTAGGTGCAGTCAGTATGATCTTTTAACATTAAAAATCGGAATGCCGCTGTTCTGCATGTAGTTAAGCTTTCAGTCAATTTCAATGTGCCTTTTTGTTATAACTGTCCTTTTTTATTGCACATAAATTGCTCTGCCATTTTTAGTGCTTGCTTACTTTTATGTGTGCTTTCTCTATATTTATTTAATTAGTTTGCTTGCATGATTTTGTTTTTATGTTGATGTATAATTATACTTGAATGTATTCGGTTTAAAGCTGATTAGAGCTTATGTTTTGTCATTTGTAACTATTTATAAATAAAGCTTTCATATTCATAAACATTAGAAATAAACTTGCCCCGCTGTGCATATATCGATGTAATGTTAACGTCATCAGTAATTGGATAGATTGGATAGAAAGTATATATGCCTATTGTACGTTTGAGCGGATGTATAGTTTAGTTCTCATAGGTTTCCGTGCGTTATATATTTCCGCGCAGCCATTTTATTAAGCTGTGTCTCTTTATTATGTCACCTGCTTGACACTACACAGGGATCTTTAAGACGTTCGGTCATCGTCTGCAAACTGACACAAATATTACGAGAATGTGCAGTTTTGCTTAATACACTTTTTATCTTGCTCAAAATTAACCCATACCTGAAAAAACAGCGATATATTTCATTCATGAACTGGTCTATTTTGGAATCTGTCAAACGTACGAAAGTATCGTATGCCAATGTGGCAACATCTCCACGCCAAAAGTATCGTATGCCAATGTGGCAACATCTCCACGCCAAATTTGTTCCACTCCTGAAGAGAAAGAAACAATCGTATATCGATAAACACTGTTTGCAATAAAATTCAACTTTTCCACTTCAATTTTAAACAGAAAGAAATTATAAATAACTTACAATCAACTGAAACCAATATAAAACTGCATCTAAAAATAATATCAGATTCTATTGTAACTACATTTGTTGGTGCGGACCACCATTGAGAATTTCTATTCAGTGTATCCATGTTGTCTTTCTTTGAACACTGAATCTAATATGAGACACAGGAACATATGATCGCTACTTCCGACAGGTGAAATTTGTTGAAAAATTGTTTCCATTAGTAGATTTTACACATGTCTGAGATAGTCATCAATAGTTTCAAAAGTTTGTTTACCGATACAAGTTCAAAATTGCAGATGCCTCTTTAAGTGCACAGAAACAGATAACATCAGGATACATCATCGTTCATTGAACAACATCATTACACTTGACATGTCCATTTTCTATGTCTATCTACTCATAGCATAAACTGTTAAATATCTGATACTTCTATGGTCCCAATTTATAAAATTTGAATGTGAGGAAATGAATCCAATTTATACAGGGGAAAATTAATGCTTAATTCATAATTTTTTATCTGCTTCATAAAAATAATTAAGAATATTCATTGTTGTTTACCAGTCTTTGAGTTTGACACTTCCACTTTATAATTCTACCAAGTTCAGATGGTATTCATATCAGCTATAAATGGCAAAGTGGTGACATCACCATGATTACCAAGATAACTTTCAAGTGTATTTATAACTAAGTATAGATTTCAGTGCTAGCCCACTTAATTGGATTAATCACACGTCAGTTGGCATTCAGATTGATGAATACCAAATGAAAGCAATTTGACACTGCATTAAATGACAAGATTTTATTTTTGCTATGGATACTTATATTTACTATTGTATTTTACTGATGGAGATCATCATGTGTTTTTCTTTAGGGTATTATAATCGTAGAATAGCCAGAAAAACCCTACCACATTACAGTCACTTGATTTTGGTAAACAGACACAACTATAGCATAACTGTACAATGTACATAAATCAAGTGATAATTTACCTTTCCAGGTCAAAGAGGTGGGTTTGATACCCATGTAATAAAACTATAGTTTTTGCAAAATAAATATTTTTCTATGAAAGTATTATAGTATAAACATATTTGTTTGTGCTGCATTTCATGAACACTGTTCAGAGGTGCAGCCAGCAGTGTTTAAATTTTCTACCAAAAATGATGACACTAAAAAACTTAAATATTTGGTATATGCACAGAGATGTGCCATTGCTCTGTTAAAAGTTTGATGACTAAAGTCTGATATTCGATTGTTTTCAGACATGCCCACTACTCCTGAGGGTGTTTTGCAGTACAGGAAGACACAACACACTGAGCGAGTTTGCTCGGGGCCAGACACCATCAAATGAACTTCAAATTTACACATGGTAATTCTTGGAACATATTTACATTTGATACATTTCAAATCTTTCCTACTTTTAAAGAAAGGTCAACCCATCTGTATGTGTTTGACACCATTTACTGTCAACACTGCATGATAAGTTGTGTTGACATTCAACATGTCTGATACTTATATTGAATCATGTTATTCTATGACAGACCTCTTTAACAGTATAAATGTCTTTAAGTTACCATTGTGAATTGTTTAACAATTATAATGAATTTGAACAAAGAATATTTTATGTTTCTAATGTAATGCTTAATCAAGGTTTCATTTTAACTTGTGTATATGTAATTAGAAAAGTAATTTAATTTTCATTGTGGACATATTACCTTTTAAACTTTTATATTTTCTTTTGACATTTTCCTAGTATTAGGTTAATCGAAACAGAGTTGTACCTTTTAATATTTGTAGATTGTTTCAAAGACTTTTATTTTTGTAGAGTGTCTTCAAAAAGATATGTATGTACATGTGTATAGTAAGTTTTCATTTGTACATGTATTTTGTAACACACAGGATGGATGCCACTTTGAAGGAACTAACAAGTTTGGTAAAGGAAGTCAATCCAGATGCTAGAAGAAAGGGAACTTTTTTTGACTTTGCCGTTGTTTATCCTGACCCTCGTACCCCTGTTTACAGAATGCGGGAGATTGGCACAACATGTGCCGGGCATCGCGGTCAAGATGACAGTCATTCTTTGACCTCTAAGAGGTTTCAGATTGGTGATTACCTAGACATAGCTGTTACCCCGCCCAGGGGTGGAGGTGGCCCTCCTCCTCGTCGCAATCGTCCATACTGAAAGAATGTTGATTTACGATAAACATTACATTCAACATATTCAACAATCTGAATGCTTTGTAAGACTTACTTTCATTTTGGAATGAATGGGCTTGTGTAAGTTTGTGATGGATAGCTGTACCTGCACTCCTTGGATTTAATTCTGGGACACAAGGGAAAGATATTGACCAAGTGAGAGTAAAGTGTTTTGCTTTTTACAGAACTTGTGACGGGAAAGGAAGAAGCTTCATCAATTAGGAACATTTTATTATTGTTTTATTGTATGATAACATAGGGAGGTTGTGTGTGTGTGTAGTGTATTGTGTATAATTGAGAATAATGTGTGTTCTGTACACATGATCATACAACTAAATAATAAATTTCGAAGAATTTTATTTAAATCCAAGAATTTATTTTTTAATTTTCAATGAATTTCTTTGATAATTTTATTCTAAGCTGCAAGCAGAGAAAAATAAAAATGGTTTGTACATATATAAACTTCATAAATGAATCAGGATATTATGTAACTATTTCTTCAATTAATTTCTTTTTATTCAGTAGGTTTTATTGACTATGTGGATTTTTAAATAATGTCTAACCTGTTCTAAATTATATGAGAAAAATTGTAAATTTGAATGTGTTTCAATTTGTCTTATTTTAAAAAATGAATTAATTCTACCAGTGGTGTGAATTTAAAACAGCTATGATTACAAATTAATTACATGACATCTTTTGCATCCTTAGCCAATTACAAAAAACAAAACAATTTTTGGTTTCAAGTTTTTAAAGATACTTGCTGTGTTGACAAGATATTTTCTCGTGTTGTACATGAAGCTGAATGTTGTCTGATTGTAAGGTGAACTTGTTTGGAGTCTGTGTATAAGTGATCCTATTCATCATATATTCCATAAGTTACACGAAAAATAAAAGAGTAGAAAAAAATATATTGAAGCAGTTCTGTGTTATAAAAAGGTGTTGGCTACATTTGGTGTCCATTTCTACATATGTCAGAATGGTTAGCATTGAAACTTATATACAAAGCTATGTTCAGCTTAACCTGTTTGTAAATAGATTGTACCTGGATCTTTTATATATGAACCATTAGGCACTATGACTAGGTATACTGTGGCTTGTGCAAGTGTGTCTATTCTATATCAATGTCCATGTTAAAATATACCTGGTGATCGAAATGAATTTTCATTTCCATTGATCAGGTTAGAAACAAATTGTTCTATATACATCTTAGTTGCATAACAGCATTATAAATGTATTTACTATAAATTTTCCAGTATTGCTAATAATGCATTAAAAACTTTCCTCATGAAAAAATGCACAAAATTCGAACACACAGGTAATTATTTATCTGGTCAACTTCATTGACAAATAAAAAAGACAGTGTTTGAAGGTTTCATTGGGTCAAACTTGAGTGAAAATTGAAATATTTTCATGCTCAAAACAAAGGACTGAAATTCACACTGTGATGCTCATCGCATCTCGATAACCGAATGGAACTTTAAGTTGTAAAAGCAATATCTCTTTCTCATATAATCTGTGTTGCTATTTGTAACCAAAATGTAAAGATTCTTTAGTGTCCTGAAAATAATGGCATTCGTCTGTGACAAGTAATAATGCAGTCAGATAGCAGCATGCTGCATCTATTGAAGTCCCAGCCTGGGGACAGAACCCATTGCCTTCCTCACCTGGGCGAACGTTTCAACATTCAAGCCAAAAGTTGCCAAGCAAGGCGCTAGGAAATAAAAGGTAGTCAGAAGCAAAGAGAAATGGAAAGATCCCAAATATTGCAATGGGGACAGCTGATTTATTTTGGTATATTTTGTTTACCCAAGTAGAGGGCACAAAAACAAATCCCAAATGTTGCAGGGGGTTTCCTCATTAGTCGTCCTTATGATACATGCAATGGGTAACAGCACGCGTATTCTTTTTTCGATCACCGACCTGCAGGGCTGCCTAGTGTCGTTGCTTCTTAGATGAGTAATATTATATGTTGTTGATGGCAATGGTGTTGAAGGTTGTGTATGTTGGTGTCGTTATCGGGGGCGTTGTCGTTGGTGAGCACTGAGGAATATCCGCTATATTTATATAATCCTGTCCTCTAGACATTCCACAGACTAAAAGCAGATTTGCCAATGTGCTAATAGCTTTAATATAAGAGTGTCACGGTATCAATTTGTTTTAGGGAAACACTTTGAAAATATGACGGATATCATAAAAATGCCACCCTAATATATAGCTCTAACAAATTATCAGGTCCCCGTGAATAAAATATCACAAGTTATGGTGTAGAACACTAAGCATGAGTACGAAGAGGTTTCTTCTTCTTCTTCTTCTTCTTTTTCTTCTTCTTCTTCTTTTTCTTCTTCTTCTTCCTCCAAATCTTGAGTTGGCATCCCAGGGATGAGCGCATGCCGGTTGACAGTTAAAAATCTCTTGGGCAGTATATACAATTAGAAGTCTGATAGAATGAACTTATCCGGAAAGGCCTTGTGGCCTGCTGGGAGGCTGTTCAGCTTGGTCTAAAAGGCCGCCAGGGTTTGGCCAGTCGCCATCCCAGGTGGGAGGCTGTTCCACTGCTGTGCTGTTCTGGAGAAGAAGGATTGTTTGTAGCATTCCTTATACTGCACACAGTCTATGAGATCGTTGCCACTTGAGGTATATTTATCAGCTTGGATTTCCACCAGGTCGTTCTGGATCTTGTACATCATGGTCAGTCGAGCTTTGGATCGTCGTAGCATCAGACTTTCCCATCCGAGTTTTTGAAGGATGATGGTGACTGTGCCTTGTGTATATGTGTGGAACTCTACCGTGACAAACCTGGCTGGTGCTCTCTGTGTCTTTTCAATGGTGTTACTCAGGTTGGTTGTTGCTGGGTCCCATACTGTTGACGCATTTATACTCGGAAGTTGGTCGCACGATAGTTTGATAGGCAGCTTCATTGCCAGGCTTCTTACAATTCCGTAAGTTCCTCTAGATGAAACCAAGTGATCGTGAAGGGCTGGCTATGATGTTATCGTCATGGTAATTCCACCGTAAGTCTTCACTCATGGTCACTCCGAGGTACTTGCTCTTCTCCATCCTCTCAAGAATGTTGCCATGAAGAGTATAGTTGGTGATTGTAAGGCGCCGTTTGTTGCTGATATGGAGGACAGTACACTTTCCGGATTGAACGACATCTGTCACATGTGCTCCCATCTTTCCAAGGCTGTCAAGTCTTCCTGCAACGCACGGGCATCCTCTTAGTCCGAATTATTCTGACGTTTTATCAACTTTTTTCATATCGGTCTGTCGTCGATTAACATCAGAACTCCGGCCCTCTATAATATGCGGGAAATATGCGACCCGCGCCCGGAGCGCACTTCCAACTGATATTTTAGAAACAAATCGTCACTTTCACACACATGTCGCACATGGATCGAAAGATCTATTCTTTATGCACAAGATGAACATACATAACATGCCCCAAACAACCAATACAATCACTAAAAACATATTTTTTCAAACTTACTCTGCTTTGTTTTTTATAGCCCCGCCTTCTAATGCCACATGACTTAAATCTCGCCGGTCTACGTCATAACTCAATCGCAACTTCTCGGCCAATTCCGGCTAGGCGCGGAATGATTCCGCGCCTAGCCGGAATTGGCCGAGAAGTTGCGATTGCGTCATAACTTTGGGAAATACCTTCGGTAACGCGGGATCTCGTCAAGTCATGTGACATTGCTCATGGCCTAATTTCCATTAAAAACATGGGTTGGTATAGTTACTGAAATGTCTGCTTTAGAAGATTGTATATATATATTACGAGAATACCAGAAATCGACTATCTCAATATTGTTTTCATGAACTTTTGAAACCGAATTTAAACACAAAAATAGGATTTAGTTTTTGTGTTTGGGAAACATAATTTGAAAATCTTACCATTCTTTTAATATCTTTAATTGATGATATTTGTCCGAAATTCCAATGACAAGGGCACAGTTATGGAGCTCAACTTCAAAGCTATTATTTTATCAAGGGATCATGTGCCTCCGGAGAAACGATTGTCATGGAGTCTGTGTTTGCCTACGCCAAGCCGTTATCATCTGGCTGTCCAACAGTTATGACGTCACCGACCGTGCCCTCTTAATGTTGCACGTTCGAGAAGAACGACTTTGGAATGCAGTATGAAGGACATACTTCGATAATTGTATAAGAATTGTGACGGTAAAACGACGTGCATTACGACGCCCGTTTCCTAGAACGGACTAATTACATGATGGCCCGTGTCTAATGGGCAGTAGGTATGTATGATTTAGTAAAAACTATAAACTAAACCCATATTAAGCGAAATAGAAGAAATCTGAAGAGACTGGTTAAGGTTATACTAAACATAAACGGGTTGTTATTCAATCAGACCATTCAAGAAGCAAGCTTAAGTGACATTTTGTCTCGTTTTGGTAATGTGAATTTTATTTAGTTGTTTCATTTCATCACGAAAGAAAACTGTTCTCAATTGGAAAGTCCACACTTTTTATAACACATTGTAACTTGTATATATCTTTGTTGTTGAATAAGCCTCTCAATATAGTCCTGTTTCTGCTTAGAAATGACATAGATAAGTTGCAATGCAAGTACAACAGATGCAAAAGTGTTTCTTTGGAACACTGAATACCCAGATGGCAATATGACACGAACTTATCACCACAGTTGACGCGATAGCTAGATGGAGTTTGTCAGCAGAACAGGTTGATGTGATCTTGTTGGATTTTAGCAATGTGTTCGACAAGGTCCCACACCACAGGCTGCTGCGTAAACTCGACCATTATGGGATAAGAGACACCACTCAGAAATGGATTGAGGACTTTCTTTTAGCAAGGACACAACAGGTTCTACTGGACGGTACAGTATCATCCACGGCAGACGTCATATCCGGAGTCCCCCAAGGGACCATTACTGTTTTAGGCCAACATAAATGACAAGCCTGAATGCAACACATCAAATGTTCGTCTCTTTGTTGATGATAACATCTTGTTTCGGCGCATTAGGAGTAGAGAGGATGCTAGTCCGAATTATTCTGACGTTTTATCGACTTTTTTCATCTCGGTCTGTCGTCGATTAACGTCAGAACTCCGGCCCTCTATAATATACGGGAAATATGCGACCCGCGCCCGGAGCGCACTTCCAACTGATATTTTAGAAACAAATCGTCACTTTCACACACATGTCGCACATGGATCGAAAGATCTATTCTTTATGCACTAGGTGGTATCAATAACATGTTTCAAAGATCATTACGAAAAGTATTTTCCAACGTTTTCGAATGATTACACACCATTGACCTTATCGATTGGACTCGACTCGAGTCTATGAAATATATTTATATAAATATATATTTTGCTTTATTAAAAACATGTTTTTTCTACTTTCTAAGGTACGTATACGTTTAACGGTTTATAAATCAGTTTAAACACAATCATATGTTTGTTTATATATTGTATATAACTATGCATACCTTCGAGCTCATGTGGTTTAGAACATCACTTTATCACAGACATTGGCAAATCTGTTAACCCAAAAGCTCGCATAAGTCAGTGTTAACGTTGTAATTGTTAAATATGGCTGACGAGCATAGGGACCAGCAAACGTTGGGACACACACATGATAAATTGTCAGAGCAATCTTGCACGACATAGTGTTATAGGAATAAAATGTGATGTCCTCGCCAGCCTTCCCTTACATTATTTTTCCTATACTGTGTGATACTGTTATCAGAAACTTTTAAACGGAGACTATTTTGTTCCCTCTATTTTCTATTTGTAGTTTTTTTTATGCCACACACGAGGAAATCCCATTGAGCCGTGCACTTAGAACCTTCGTGTTACCCTGAACTAGGAAGTGTAATACATGTTTACAGGGAATGAGATCGCTAGTGGACACACCCTATACTTTGGTAAGTGTATATCTCTATTACTGAGAATGGGAAAGTAACCCACGTATTGAGGCCCAATTTAAAGGACACTGAATAATAATTATAAAACACAAGGGATAAAAATAAACCAAAGTCTTAAAATATCTGAGTTACTACCACTTTGGTGTAAAAAGTCTTTTCTGTCTTCTAATCATTACCTTTTGCACACAAATCACTTTAGTCTTTTTTTGCAATTAGAATTCTTATTGGAGTGAAAGTACACTGTGAAATATACATTGTTACTTGCCGATTCACAGGTTTAAACAAATCCATACGTAACAATAAACAGTTGTATGCTAAGAGCAAATCTTTACAATTCATAGCTGTATTGTTACATGTACCAATTAATTAATAAACATGTCAATATTTATTAATCAAGCATTATACAAGTCACGATATATCCAACAACCAGAACCTGCTCGCATGACACCATATCGACAAAACTACGACTCCTTACACTACAGTGTGCTAGTCTATGTACAAACGACAATGCTGCCACCACGAAAACACAACATAACTACGTCTGTTACCACAGTCATTATAATGCATATTCCAACCTTACTTGGCTC